AAGGTTGATAGAGCTGCACTTAAATGTCTACAATGGGAGAGGGAACTGGTAAATGTGGATGATATCTTGGTATTTGGCCAAAATTTCTAGTCTGATATAATGAACCTGTCCATGGTTTTACAGCAGGTATGAATAGTAAGATTAAATGTAAAGCTTAAGAAGTGTACAGATATGTGTATATTAATAAAGTTTCTTGGGGGTATTATGAGTAGAAAATGTATCTTGAAGAACCCTGTGAAGATCAAAGTAGTTTAAGACTAGCCACAATCCAGGATGAGATGAGATATTCGAATCTTCTTTGGGTTTATCTTGTACTATTGAGCAATTTTTCAAAGTTAGCATCACTCATGACCACACCTCTAATTCCGAAGTCCATATCATATAATACAAAGAGTGGGCATGTATTTCTCACTCTGAAGTGAGCTTTATTAGAGTTATCCATTATGGTATATCCAAAACAGGATTGGGAGTTCATCTTGAATACAGATTCCAGTGATAGTGGATTCAGAGCAGTTGTGTCACAGATGCAAGATGGGATGAAGCAAGTAATCATGTGTGTGAATCATATGCTTACTGCTTCTGATTTCAAATAATGCACCATGAAGAAAGAATTGCTTACAGTTGTACTACTAGTATAGCATTTTTAACACTAGTTGCACAGCAGGAACTTCATTCTCAGTGTGGATAATATATCGAGGAAACAGCTCAACACACCAATGATGATGGACTGTATTGTTGCACAATGACATCATGTCCATTTATAGACTGTTTTGATTTGGGACATCGAAATGAAATCATGACTATATCCACCATTACGACACAGGGCCATGCAGTTAATAATTTCACAGGTGACTGACTACTGAACATCACTTTTGAGAGGTTTAGGAGGAGTAATAGGGAAACCCCAAGCAAGCGTGGGTACTCCTTGCTGTACAGCAAAGGAGAACAAGTTAAAATGCCAGGTGCTTGTGTGAGAAGTTACAGGTGCACAATGGAGTGCTATATCACTACTATCACCCAGTAAGATGTAGAAGTCTATCTGTTCTGCAGTACTGTAAAATCCCGATTCCAGCCATTCCAAGCAGTTAGCTACCTGAAACTAATCAAAATATTTCTTTGGTGTGTCTTTAAATATCGGTGATTTTCTTTACCTCACGGCTGTAACCAGGCCCACCGAAAGAGTAGGTATGCCGGGATATTTTCCTGGGGCCCATTTACAACCAGAGGGCCCATGATAGCGGTAAAAACTGATAGGAATGTATCAAATCAGTACGGAACATTTGAACAATAACCGTGTCTTCAATCATTTATACGAGTGTGCAACACAATTCCAAACTTTTTTCAGTGAGGTGGCACATGTTAATTCTTCACCAAGGCCCAAGATGGCTCTCAGCAACCATGGTGGTAAGTGGTACTCCGAAGTTTATAGCCACGCTAACTGTGCTACACGATGTAAACAAATAGTTAACTTAAGTGTACCAGCTAGCGCGATAATAAACACTGACATCAATTCTATTCTGAAATAATTCTCTTTTATCTTAACTAACTTTACTACTCTAAAAGCTTCACTGAACAGTTTTAATACTAAGCCTTGTTCTAGAGAGTTCTAGTTTTTCACGTAAACTCCATATCATATTACACTACACAAAACTCACAGCCCCTGTAGTTATCAAAATCCTAGCTTACAACAAATGTTTACATACCACATGTGCTGTAACAGAAATTCACGCAAAATACTAGAAATCTAGGAACCTTATAATCATTTGGTTTAAAATTGTCTAATTATTTGTTACTTTTTCAAAGTTTGTTTCGTTTTAATAGGTACTTCTTATTTTTGCTCTTTTTGATTTACATCAATGATATAGGTGAAGGAATGGTCAATAAACTACGTAAATTTCTGATGATATTAAGGTTCTGGGTGTTGCTGGCTGTGAGGATGATGCTGATGCTTTACAAAAGGATTTAGACTATTTAGTGAGTTGGGCAAATAAATGGCAGATGGGTTCTAATTATAATTAATGCAAGATAATACATGTGGATTATAATAATATTAATTATAAGTATAATTTGGATGGGAATAACCTTAAAAGTGTTATAGAAGAAACTGATTTTGGTGTAGTGGTTGATCAGTCTCTTAAGCCATCTAAGCAGTGTGCTATTGCTAGTGGTAGGGCGAATATAGTATTTTAGGTTGTATCTATAGAGATGTTGAATACAAGTCTAAATAGGTTATAATTTCATTGTATAAATCACTGGTTGGGCCACGCTTGGAGTATCATATTTAGTCTTGGCCCCCTTACCTTAGGAAGGACATTGAAATGTTGGAAAAGGTTCAGATGAGGGCTACTAGGAAGATACTTGGGATGGAAAGGTTGTCATATGAAGGGCCTTCATACTATGCTTTTTGTGTGAAAATGCAGTGCCTTGCAACAGTATTCACCCCCAGCAAAGTTTCCACATTTTGTTGCTGTCTGAGCTTGCAATCATGAAACTTTCAAATGGGTCTTTATATTTAGAATCTACTCCAAATTGAGAAAGCTTAAAAAATGCTGATGTTATTTATATAAGTTAGATTTTCAAAGAAAATTAGAATATTCTCGATTGCATAAGTTTCAACCCCTTTGCTATGGCAACTCTAAATCAGTTCAGGTGCAAAAGATTAATTTAAAAAATCACAAAATTAATGTAATGGTCTCTGTTTCTGTGTAATCAAAGTGGTTTAACTTGACTTCAGAGCAAATGCATCTGTTCAAGCCACAACTTACATAATGATACGACAAACTAACCGTGGTTACAAACAAATTTCAAAGTCGCTGATTATCCATTTGAGTATGGTGAAGTCCATCATTAAGAAGTGGAATGTGCTTCATACCACCCACTCACTACCCAGATCTGTGTGCCCTTCCCAACGAAGCAGCCAGGCAAGCGGAAATTTTGTTAGGGATGCTACTGTGAAGTCAACAGTGACTTTGAAAGGTTTTCAAAGTTACAGTATGGAATTTGCTATAAGAAAGGCACACACATAATAATTATAAAACTTGTTTATTTTGTGTTTCTTTGGTGCCTAATATTTCTTCTGCTTTTCTGTTTTGGTTACAGGAGTTGTTAAAATGGTGTAGATGATATGTATCCCGATTCTTACACAAAGCTTGTCTGTATAGGTGAGTGTCAAGAAAGAAGCCATTACTGAAAAAGAACCATCTTAAATCTCTTATGAAGTTTGCGACAAAGCATGTAAATGATACTGCAGAGATGTGGCAGAAGGTTTTGTGGTCAGATGAGACAAAAATTTAGATTTTTGGTCTAAATTCAAAGTGCTATGTCTAGCGCAAGTGCAAATCCAACACATCACCCAGTTAACACCATCCCATGTTATGGGGATGCTTCTCATCAGCAGGGACTGGAAACTTGTAAGGATTGACGGGGACAATGTATTATGCAAAGCTAAGGCTAATCATAGAGGAAAACCTGCTTAAATCAGCCAAGAACCTAAAACTGGGTCGAAAATTTACATTTAAGCCGGAAAATGACCCGAAACACAAGGCAAAAGCCACACTGAAGTGGTTTCAAAAGAAGAAAATGAATGTCCTGGTGTGGCCTAGTCAAAGTTCTGACTAGAATCCAATAGAAAATTTATGGGAAGACTTGAAGATTGCAGTCCATCAATGATCCTAAACGAACTTGTCAGAATTGAAGGAATTTTCCCACGAAGAATAGGCAAAAATTACACCATCGCATTGTACAAAGCTGGTAGAAATCTATCCAAGAAGACTCACAGCAGTAATTGCTGCCAAAAGTGCTTCCACCAAGTATTGATTTGGGGGGCTGAATACTTATGCAATCAGTAAATTTCAGTTTATATATTTTCTTTGCAGGTTTTGCTTACATTCAACCTCCTTCACATATAACAGTGTTAAGTTTGATCATTAGAGTTTTGAATAAAGCAAATTCATTAAAAACTTGTTTGCATCATTTGTATTTCATCAAAATGTGACATTATTGGTAGGGGGTGAATACTTTTGTAAAACACTGTATACTGAAATAGGTACAAAGACATATTCTGGCACACGTTGTGTAACATTACAACTGTGGCTAATTTACATATTTTAAAAATGGAGAAGTAAAAAAAAAAATGTCTTATGATCCTGATAACTTCTACAAACATGACTGGATGCTCCTGAAGATGGGTCCAAACTTTGATTGGATGTGAAGAATTAGTTTCAACTAAGGAAAACGCTGAAGGTAAAGAGGTTAAGGATTCAAAATATGCAAACAATTAATTGTAATGTTTTTGAAATTTAAAGGGTATATGCTACTTCAAGAGAAAGCTTGATAAATATATGAATGATAAGGGCTAGCTGGCTGGCCTTGAGAATATTTATAGTAGTTTAGATTAGTGGATGCGACAGCCTAGACAGACCAATAGGTCCATGTTGTTACTAAATATTATGTTATGTTACTTATTATGTTTTTGAAAAGACTTATAAACATGTAAAATGTATAATTTTCAAAGAATCTTGTTACTCAACTTTCAAAATGCTGAATATGCGATTTTCAATTTCTACACATGCTCTTTTCTTTCAAGCTCTACGGGCTAACGAACAGCACTAGCTCGAAACGTCACTTTCCAGGAATAAAAGTATATAACAATAGTTCCCCGCTGTCTACGGATTTGCAACGCAAAAAACATGGGTTCGATTCAACTCGGTGGACAACAAATAACCCGATGTGGATTTGCTACAAGAAAAACAAACACACACACACACACACATAATAATTATAAAACTTGTTAATTTCGTGTTTATTTACTGCCGAAATTTTCTTCTACTTTTTTGTTTTGGTTACAGAAAGTTTTAATATCGTATAGATGATATATGGTAGCTTATAATACAATTTTTAAATAATAGTAATGTGTTCATTATATTAATCATTTAGTGTAGTTTTCCTGATTATTTTGTGATTTTGTTTTGGTTATACATTTGTCGATTTCTTCTCCTTAGGTGGCAGCACCATTGTTTTGAATGCTATAAATTCGCTTTGGCTAGATGTTTGGATATGAGTTGGAATTTCAAAATTTAGTTGAGGAATTATATATGATTTTTTTATTAATATTGTTGACAAAAGCTTATTGTGTTATGTGTATGCTTCACAGGCGTTCTATACACTAAATTGTATGTGTAGGCTGAAGTTAGATAATGATAATTCATTTATAGTATTAAATTATTATTAATGATAAGTTGAGATGGATAAAATTAAATAAATAATACAGTTTATTTTAACTTTTATCACTTTAATATCTTACGATAGGGCTTGATGGATACTTCAAGTTTAATTTGAAGTTCAAAGGGCGCTCCTCCATGTGATGAAAATTATCAATTGCTGCAGTTAGGAGCTCTTCAACCTTATTTTTGATCAATTATGGTAAGGAAATGTATCATTTCTCAGCAACAGTGTAGCTTAAAAATAAAATTAAAGGTCCTATATTATACTATTACTAGGCTATACACCTTTAAACATAGCATTCTCCTGCATTTTCAATGGGTTATTCTGTGTTGAATCTAACCTCTTAATCTTATTTAGTTTATTTGTGTATATAATATTATTTGGAATGAGAGGTCAAAAAGTCAATCAGTTATTGCCAATATTGGTTTTCTGTACATGCTGTTACCAGGTGTAACAAATGGCGACATAATTAGGGCCATGATTCTGTTTTAATGTCCATGATGCTAAAAAACTAATTTTGTGTAAAAAGTAACTGGTTTTGAAAAACTAATGCTCAGTCTACTCATAATTTCAAAATACCTGTACAAGAAAATTTTCCTTGGCATCCCATCCCATCTTTGTCTGACATCTTTGCACATGGCACCCTCTTGCATTTTCAATTGCTTATTGTGACATCTTATAGATTGTTTGTTTATGTCAACTTATTTGAAATCAGAGGTCAAAGTGTCAGTTGATTATTGGTTTTCTGTGCATGATTTGTATCATATTTACATATATGTTGTGAAGAGTACCAATAATCATTGATTGCTGCATCGGTTAAAGGGCTAATAATATTATTGAGCAGTTTGAGGGATCTCTAGCAACAAACTCTAAGTTGAAAATTTTGTAAAGCTGGTACAAGGATAAGGTTGACATCTAAAGTTTTGCCACAGTAGTTATGACCAAACAATTGTATTAATTAAACAAAATACTGTAGTAAGGTGAATTTATTGTTTTTACTATACTCCTCTGTATACGACATCTTGTAGGATAAGTAAATCTTGTTGAGGATAAGTAAAGATTTTATCACTAATCTTGCGGAAAAAGTGGTCATTCCAAAGCTTTTCCAGCTCTGTTTATAGTCTTGTTGTATTATAAAATCATTTGCTTTATTTCTATTGCTTATATTTTTAAAAATTTAGTTGCTAGTATCTACATTAAATTTTTTAAAGTAATTGGTAAAGGAAAAGTTTCTAAGACTTGAATATTATGATATAGTCCTCTGCTTTCTTGAGTAAGTTTCCAGTCCTCATTTAATATATGATGAAATTGGAAAGAGAATGATTTTGAAATGGTATTTTTTCAGAAATCTGTGATTACTATTGGGGGACATGAAATATAACTGAAAGTAGCACATATTCTTTTTTCAAAAAAATGATTTAGAAAGTCTTCGAAATTATGACCTCTTAATTAAGCTTTGGTGTTGGAGTCTGTTGTTAGAAATAGATTTGGAAATGCAACTTGGAAAATGAATTTAAGAAAAAATGGCATTGTTTCAAAAGTGTTACAACTTTACATATATGTGTATGTATATAAACAAATCTATAAACCAGCCTGGAAATAGTTTCTGAAATTGATAAGCCACCAATAAAAAAGTGCATTTTCCCCAGGATTGTGGATGACAAAAATGGATGTTTCCAATGCCCATCTCTACATCCCTATAGTCCTTCAATCTCATCTTTATCTTCGGTTTGTTCATCGCTGGGTGGTTTACCAATTTTGGGCTCTCCCCTTTGGACTTGCCTCGGCTCCATACATCTTTTGTTGCATCGTTCAGGCCTTTGCTCATCATATTCATACTTTGGGGTTGTGGTTTCATCATTACATGGATGACTAGCTACTTGTTGCTCATTCTGAGAAGGAGTTGACCAATCACACTCACCAACTCTTTTCTGTGGCAGCTCGAGTGGGCTGGTTGATAAAATTGGAGAATTCAGTCCTTTGACCCACCCAATACTTAGTGCATTTGGGGGTCTTATTTGACACCAACATCAGTCGAGCTCTTCCTTCTTGTTTATGCCTCAGTTCTATGGAACTTTTAGTTCACCATGCTCTCTCAGCTTGGTCACTTACTGTTTGAGAGGTTCTATTGCTTTTGGAGATATGGTTCCCCCTTGGTTATGTCCATATGAGATCCCTGCAGTGGTCACTTCACAAACAATGTAACCTTGCATGGTATCCTATTTCTACCACCATTTTCCTTCCTCTTTCCCTGAGAGTTAATTTGCTGTGGTAGCTCAACAAAACCCATACATAGGTGGGTGTGCTATTTCCTCCCCCGTGTCTGGATGTCCATCTGTTCATGAACGCTTCCCTTCAGGGGTTGTGGGCTTGGGTCGATCACCATGAAGCTTTGGGCCATTGGTCTGCAGAAGAACTTGTCTTGCATATCAATGTTCTCAAACTTCTGGCAGTTTGTCGGGCATTATCTCACTTCAATTCTCTCGACTTTCACTGTCTGGTGATGGTTCATTCTGATGGTGGTGGCTCATATCAATCACCAGGGGAGCACCCAGTCCAGAAATCTTTACTTCCAGACCTTGGATCTTCGATACTGGGCCCAGGCACATAACAGTCATCTTCTCGCATGTCATGTGCTGGGTGTTTTTGAGCTGGTAGCAGATCATCTTTCATGTCCCTGGATCCGATTGTTTTCAACGACCTTTTCCTCCTATGGGATTCTTCCTAATTGGATGCATTTGCCACAGGCCTCAATACAAAGTTGTCCCTCTTTTGGACACCTGTCCTGCATCCACAGGCTTTGGTTATCGAAGCCTTCAACCAGGATTGGTCTCACAAGTACCTCTTTGTGTACCCTTCCTTATATTGGCTTTATCGGGTGATTTCTCTGGTACACTCCACTCCTTGTCAGGTCCTCCTGATTGCACCCCATTGGCCAGCATAACCCTGGTGAAGATGAAGGACAGGGAGATGGGGATGAAGAGTAGGGAATCGATGTTGACACAGAAGGGAGGAAACAATGGAAGAGGAACAGGTGGTGAGAGGAGCAGACATTGGAGCCTCGGAAAATAGGGTCATGCTGGCCAATGGGGTGCAATCAGGAGGACCTAACAAGAAGTGGAGTGTACCAGAGAAATCACCCATATTGTAACTTATTTTCCTATACTGAAAATGTATTTCTGATAGGTACTTCTGTCACACCCTTCCTCCCCACTTCTCTGGTGCTCACACCTTCTGCCAAACTTCGAAGTGAAGGTTCAGTAGAGGAGTGTAGAGGGAGTCACACGTATCACTTGAGCATACTATGCTACTGTTGGTTAATAGATGATGCATGATGATTTGCATGAGAGACACGTTGGAGTGTACTAATTCCAACAAGGGGGAGTGCAAGGTTTGTGGGATGCACAAATAAAATGTTTGCATATAGAGGGCAGAACTTAACGAGAATAGCTAATCTTGTGAGAGGAAGTAAATGCCTATCAGAAATACATTTTCAGTGTAGGGAAATTATAACTTCTGTCAGTTTTCTGGTTTTCAACATGTGTGAGATAAGCTTAACACAACGTATGTAGATAAAAAAATTTGAAGAGTGGGCAAAGTTCTCTTCTTATAAATCAGGGGTTCTCAACCTTTTTCTACTCAAGCCTTACTGTAAAAACGTGTTGGTGCTTTCACCACCCCTAAAATAATGCAAACTTGCCTCTGATTGGTTCGCTACTTAAAAGCGTGGTTAAAAATAAACGAATTACTAATGATAGTGCTACTTTGTAATATATTCAAAATTATTATTTTTGTAATTTATTACAGCCTCATTCAAACATTTGTGCCCCCATGGAAGATTTGATTCCACCTCAGGGGACATGCCTCACTGATTGAGAACCAGTGTCATAGACCTTAATCTTTTATATCTGGAACTACATACTCTTACCTGTAAAGTACAAGACAGTTTAGATGAAGTTGGAATGTCCTGTGACAGAACATAGTGTTGGAGTTAAAATTTTCTAATAGTCGAAGTATCAAATGAAATATTTCTGTTTATTTTGAAACAATCATTTAGAAATGTAAGTTGGACCAATTAAAGAAAAATAGCATTTCATTTGCTAATCATTATGTACATAAGATACTTGTAGAACTAGCTATAAAATGTCAAACATTTATTTTCAAGTTTTAGTTTAAAGATATAAAAAAAATATCAGTAACATTTATTTCCAAATTTTTAATGATAAAGAATTTCAAAAAAATGTAAATTTTGTGTTTTTTATGTGGAAGAGTTTTTTATGCTAATGCCTTTTGAGAAAGTTTAAATTTAAAATTCTTTGTTTTTAGGCTTCAGTTGAATATGAAATGAGTGAAATGGAGGTTTTAGAAATAAAAGTTGAACCCATTTTTGATGAAGAGCAGAATGCTCTGTTGGATATCAAACTGATGGAAAATGAAGACAAAACTATAATATCACCCAGTAGTAAGTAAAAATTTTTAACAATCTTTTTTTGCTCTTGCTGAATGTTCTCACCACTGTATCTTATGTTGTTTTTTTAATGTAGCAGCATTCTATATTCTTAATCATCGATTACAAATTTATTTCATGTAGAATAAAGCCATTAATTCTCTTGATACATAGATGTGTAACAGTAATAATATCACGGTATTAGCAATAGGGTCTAAAAGGTCTTGGCGATGTGGATAATTTGTCTTGATTTCAATACCAAAAAGATACTCATCTCTGCTGATTGGCAATATAGATAAAACATCAAACAAGACGGAGAGTTGACCCAACCTGTGCTACTTACTTCTGTTCAACAATATACAAATACAGATTATAATGAGGTAATCAAAAGGGGAAAAAAAGACAAACAGAATGGAAAATAAACTTGGCAAGAATTCAGTGTACTTTTTAAAGATTCCTATCACCACTGTGGTTAATATCAAACTTGTCTATACTTATCAGTTTGTGACACTCAAATGGTGAAACTTCAAGCATCTAGTGCCAACACAGCATAATGTACTTTCTTGTTCCAAGTTTAACATAACAGTACAGCAAATCAGTACTCATTGTCAGATCTTTTTACACTAACTAGTATAAAAAATTTTGTATGTAAAATCTATAATTTGGATCATGTTTGACATAAATGAGAACACACTGACTATTGTGACTGAGAAAAAAAGTCTTGGTATAGTGGTATATGTGTTATTCAAGCCATTGAGGTAGGTTCTATTACTATCAGTAAAAGGAATATAATTTTAATATGTATTTATAGGTGTATTGAGTACAAGTAAAAGGAGTTATGTATAAAAATCATTAACTAGGCCTCATATATTATTAGAATACTGTATATAGTTTTGGTCACCTTATCTAAGAAAATATACTGTCATTGGAAAGGGTTCAGATGACTGCAGGAATGGAAGGATTATTTTATTGGGATAAAGTAAGAGGATATCTTTGAGTTCACTAGATTATCTGGGAGTTCTACAGGATAAAGGCCTGACATGTGATTTCTTACTGTTGACTGTGTTGTGGAGACAACAGGATGAGATTCCACAAACTTAAGATTTGAAAAAGATAGGTGATGCTCCAATGTTTTTGTTTTTCTAACAGAGTGATTAGCTTATGGAATGAGTTGCCATCAACAGTAGTGTAGTATAATACCTTGTAAGAGTTAAAGAAGGGCTAGTTTGATTTGTACTTTTAAATGGGGATTGGTTTGCAAGAATAGCCTTGAAGGACCAAATTGCTTCTTGTTGCCTATATATTATACATTTCAGCTAAATGTCATATTGTAATGAAAATATAAAACAAAAAAAAGATATAACACATATGTACAATCTTTCTTGCCTTTTTGGATTATAATATTGTTACTTGACTAATAGTCATATTTTTCAATATCATGATATTGTTTCATTGTTTGAACCTACAGTGTGAGGTATTGTACTGTAATGATTTTTTAAGTGTTGTTTATAAAGCTAAAATAAACTTTTTCAAGTAACAATTTTAATTTTTAGAGAAAGTTTCAGAGGTACTATGAATCTGACCGTGTGTGCTAAAATTATTTCATTTGATCCAGGTATGGTCTAACCATCTCTGGTTAAATTTTGCTATATTGATTATAAACATGTAAGCTGGTCTTTCATTGGTTGTAGCCAATATTCTGTCTGAATTAACGAGGTTGGAAAAATGGTGTGATGTATTGTTTTTCAAGTTTTTATACCTAAGTAATTCAGTTGCACAGGAAGATGGGCCCAAGTGCAGAACTTAAATGAAAGTATCCCTTGTTTATATACACCAAACGTGAAGTATTCATTATTTAACAATATTTACTTACGATAATGATAAAATGTATGAAGCTGTATAGGATTACTTTTATTATAAAAAAGTTTTTATTCACCTGTTTGTATTCCATTGTTTACATGCTTTTCCTTCTGCAAAGTGATCAGTCATTTCTTTAGGCTTATTTCCTCACTCACTTGTCTTTACTTAATATTATTTCTAATCCACAAAGTCTCTTGTCTCACGGTGCTATACGGGTATTTCTCTATAAGTTTTGGTTTTGAAAATGAGTGTTCACCACTTTTTGCTGTTATTGCAGTAGTGAGAAGCAGGAGAAGTACAGTACAAACTTTTGAACAACACAGCACTAAGACACTGTTGTCAAATCAACACGTATGCTAGATTCTTCACTGTTGATTGTTCTGAGATGTTAAATGTCAAACATTATCTGACATAGCAGTAGAAATATCTTTGTTGAAATGATTGACTAGTTTTTTTAGCTTCTATAAAGTAAGCCTCATCACTTGCAGGAATAACTTACTTTATTAATATTATACATCCTTGGCTTTTTTATTTACATCAATGATATAGATGAAAGATTATTTAAATTGGCTGATGATGTTACAGATTTGGGTGTTGCTGGCTGTGATTAGGATGCTACTGCTTTACAAAAGGATTTTGTTTATTTATTGAGTTGGGAGAATAAGTGGCAGTTGACTTCTAATTATAATAAATGTAAGGTAATGCTTGTAGCATATCACAATTTGAATTATGAATATTATTTTAATGGGAATAACCTTAACAGTGTTATGTTAGAATATATTATTGGTGTTCTCATTCATCAGTCTCCTAAGCCATCCAAGTAATGTGTTGTCGTTAGGGGTGGGGCAAATAGGATTTTAGGTTGTCTACATAAATATTGAATACAAGTCTAAATAGGTTATAATGTCATTTTATAGGTCATTGGTTAAGTTACATTTGGAGTATTGTGTTCAGTCTTGGGCTCCTTACCTTAGGAAGAACATTGATTTGTTTGAAAGGGTTCAAAGTGGGGCTACTAGGATGATGTCATGGATGGAAAGGATGTTATACAAAGATAGATAAAAATGTGTGTACTTGTTTGTTGTTTTGAGAAAAGGAGAGTTAGAGGAGATATGATTGAGGTATTTAATATTGTTAAGGGGACTGATAACATTAATGCATTATCCTTTTCAATATGAGAATGGTAAGACTAGGGGACAAAATTTTTTCAGGGTAGGTGTCATCTTCAGCTAAGACAGCTTTACTTTTCTAACAGGCTGATTGGTTTTCAGATGTGGTAGATGCAATTAATTCAAATGAGTTTAAGGGATAGCTTGATAAATATTGAAATGATAAGGGCTGACTTTTTTTTGTTTAATTTTTTTAAAAAGGATAGTCTAGTTGGTAGATGTGGTAGATGCAATTAATTCAAATGAGTTTAAGGGATAGCTTGATAAATATTGAAATGATAAGGGCTGACTTTTTTTTGTTTAATTTTTTTAAAAAGGATAGTCTAGTTGGTTCAGAAGATCCCTTGTTTATCTTTTATGTTATGATGCTGATTTAGTCAATAACTGACAGTAATATGTAAAAACAGTTTGAAAGCTGTGTAATGATTGTATCAAGACACATGTAAACACATCTACTTTGAAAAACTATCTGAGTCGACAAGTTTCTCATCTTCAGCTAGCTTGTCAAAATGCTGTTTTACCTTTCTCACACATTTTCCTTAACTTTATCCACCCCACTTTTCTGGCAGAATTTTTGCCATCATTAAAGTAGTTTATGAAGTGAGCTGGAGCTTCAGTGGCTCTGCCAAGTAGTGTAACTGTTTTGTAAAGGTCATTGTTGTGGATTATAACAATTGTGACACAGCATTTAAAGTTTTCAGAATCTCTGGAGCACACAACAACAAAAAATAAACCATAATAATACTCATAGTTTCTTTAAAGCTCAAATTTAACTGATACTGTACACAGGCTGTGCATCACACAGAGAAATGCACATGTACACAAAGAAATTAAATTATTATAATCCTTGGATTAGTTAACTCAGCATTTGTTTCCAAAAAACAATGTTGTAATATAGGTATAGAATATGACAAGGTATAATTAGTACAAGTATTAATATAATAATATGTATAATATATTTAGTACTTAAATGAATTCAGAAATGTTTTTTGTTCAACTTATTTAACAGTCAAATTTACCTCTGGACAATTTAGTTGTTGGAGAACTAGTCATTATGACAGTGAAAGTTGTTAAGGAATGTTATTATTGCCTTGCCCTCATCAAATCAATAAAAATGTAAAGAACCTCAGTTTCTTATGTAGCCTTTCTACAGTAATTGATGCTGATTATCAGTTATTACTCAGTTTAGCTGATTAAACCAATTATTAATGAGTTTATTTTTAATAGGTATACCTTTAGTAATAATATTTCTGAATTTCAATTTTTAGAAACTTGTTTTGAAAAAATGCTTTAACTGTTTGAAACAAAGATGCATTGATTTGATGCACATGTTGTATAGTTTCTTTTTTTGCACTGCAAAAGAAAACTATTGGATGAAATAGTTTGAAACTTCAGAATTATTTTTTATGGATTATGTAACTTCTACAAGTAAAATATGTGATGTTTTTATGAATCTGTATTTTTGAATTATCAAAAATATTTCATTGCAAAATGATTTTTAAGCAACAATTAAAACTGCCTATCCTTTGTAGATTTTAATTACTAAGTTTTATTTATTCTTACTTTCTTTTAATACTTTCAAATAAAGTTTTTATTTTGTAAAGCTATAATTTTTATCAGTTTAAAATTGTTAATCAGAATGTTTCATTCAGTACATGTAATAAATTTAAACTTGTTTTATATTAATTTGTATCTTTAAATATAGATATCACAATGCCAAGCTTTTACCACATCTTAACTGAAATGGAAACCTTACTGTCTTTGTACTGCTCCAAAAAACTTTTATGACATGCTTAGATGTGTAGCCTATGAGTTTTAAAGCTGAGATATAAGCAGTGCATCACACCATAACAACTGTGGTTGAGAAACAGTGACTGACTAAAAATCAGTAAAACTACAGTTGTACTTAAGTTTCATTAACATATTACCAATGTTTTGTTCAGAACTATTGTAACTTCTATGGGGCTACGAGCTTCATATTATGCTCAGAACAAAATTTAGGAAATTTACAAAAACACTTTTGATTTTGTTGGGAACATGTTAAAATTAACCCAAGGAAATTAACAAAAACACTGTTGGTTTTGTTGGGAACATGTTAAAATTAACCCAAGGAAATTAACAAAAACACTGTTGGTTTTGTTGGGAACATGTTAAAATTAACCCAAGGAAATTAACAAAAACACTGTTGGTTTTGTTGGGAACATGTTAAAATTAACCCAAAATCAAAATGTACAAATTATTTTAATTTCTATATATAAAATTAAATGAATAAAATTTTTTGGTGAATTAATTTCAACTTTGAAGTTTTGTTTTTCATGTGTGGAAAATTGACTACAAATTCATGTTAAATAATATTTTTAATTCATTGTTGCAGTTTTTTCCCTCAAGGTGGACTGTAGCCATTCAGGTGTGAAAGAGTTAAATTTCATTAGCTGTATCCTGGTACATTTCATAACAAGGTCGTTTATTATGATTTAATGATGTTTAAATCATCACTGTATGTTCTGTTAAAGATAAAAACATGTTATTAATACTTTTAGCAACTGTGAAGGCTTTGTCCTTATGTAAAGGGGCTTCACATGCTGCCCATAGGTCTGTTGTAGCAGAAGAGGAACAAGAAAATAACTGTGGTGAAGTAACAGGAAAAACTGAGGTAACTCATTGAATAAAAACTTTTACAGTTTTCTGTATTGGGAAAAGTGACTGCATTCATAACAAAATGTGTTTATTATTGTAGATGTAATAATAATTTTCTAAAATTGAATTGTCTATGTAACTTCTAATCAATGCTATAACAATTTATAGGGGGTGGGTCATCCCTATCATTATAGCTGGGTCAAAGTACACATCTCATGACTTTTTATAGTGTTACATTCAAAATTTAATTAAACCACTTTATTATCAATGTATTTCAGTAAACTTGGTATGCAAGTGAAATTTAGAAGTTATATCTTTATATTCTGACTTATCAAGCTTTATTTTTTTTTTGTGTGTGTTATGTGATATGTGTCTGAACTTTGGATTCTCAGCATCAGGACTTTCTGATTTCAATAATAGGCTTCTAGAGTTTCCAACTAAGTAGAAAAACTACCCATAATTACAAGCAACTTTTTAATATTTGAGTCTCCTGTCTATTTGTTTTACTGACATATCAAACACATCTGAAAAGCTCCTCCCCTCTCTCTCTAACTTCACAGAGCTGATGGACACATTTTAAACAATAGAAAGAGCAGATTCTTTCTATACAAGGCTCATTATAGCAGTAAGTTTTGATACCCGCATAATAACAGTCTGGTGTAATTTCTTAATATGAAAACTTCATGATCTTTTTCTGAACATTTGATGCAATTTTTTTAAAATATATTTATAGCTTAGTTAGAAGGGCAGCTAAATTATAATACATTTGAGACATCCTAATCTAGTGACTAATATATTTTTTGTGTTCTAGGATGTATGTTTGAAAGCTACGTGAATTATGTTTTAGAGACCCACATTTTTGAGAAATCAGTGAGGCTTAGGCTGTGAGAACAAAATTATATGTAAAGAACATGAACTGTACATGAAACAACTAACGATATCCTTTTGTGATTTAGTGTTTTTCACGGGGAATGAATTTCCCGTGTGGTCCAATGTACAGTCAATAAAGCCATGAGATTAAAAAAAATAGATATTAAAAGCTTGACAGTTAAAACTGTGAAGATAAGTAACTTGAAAACCTGAGATAAAATATGCATTCAAAGAATAAAAAAGGTATTCCTTTTGTTTCATATTTTTTAACTTTTCATGTCATACAAATTAAATTAGGGTAAAGATAAGAGATAAAATAAAATTTTTACTGATAACAGCTATTAATATTCATTTAAGATATTCTAGAGTTTTTGTTAGTGACATATGATAACTGTACAATGAAAAAAGTATTTTAATTCTTGACATGAAAATCACCTTTTACACAGACTGACAGTAATGGCTTTGGAAGTTCACAGACAAAGTTTTAGTAGAAATATGATGTTTTATGTACAACAGACTTGTAATGTTTACTAAAAGCTAGCCAGATTTCATGAAGGTGCATTTTGTAAATACAAAATTATAGTGAATATTATGTATGTCATTACAGTTACAGAGGTTGATCCAGTGGACCAATACAGAACTTAAAGTGTTAAAGATTAATTTTAGTTTGTGCCGGCATAAACAGATTCCTGAAGTTCCTTTGCTTATTTTGAAATTATGTAAGCTTTGGAATGGTTACTAGATGCTATATGCATAAAGTATATTATTATTTTCAGTTATCAGAAAATTATTCATTACTGAAAGTGAATCATTTATGAAATTAAATTGATAGACATTACAGAATGTTTGTACAGAGAACTGCACAAGTAAACTCACTAGATGAGAAGACTTGTGTGTTTGGCGACTGTAATAACAGTTCTATTTGTTGTTTGTTATTGATTCATCCAATGTGATCTTTATGTTTCAGAACACTATAGTCAAAGTGAAAACTGAGCCACCTGGTGATTTACAAGACGTTGAGGCTGTTTTAGAGTTCAGTGACAGTGATGATGATCTAGATAGTTCAAAAGATGAAATTTTGAGAGTGGAAATAGAAAATGAATTGCAAGAAGAGTTGCATCAACTTGACTCAGAGTTAGAATATACATTTGGTAAGTAGAGATATCAACACAAAAACATTATTCAAGAACACGTATTTAAAAAAAGAGATGGTTTTTCATTTAATTAACCATTTAAGAATTTCAAAATCAGGAAACATCATCTGCTGGACACAGAACTAACTCTAAGGTAGAAAGATTGTTTGTTGGTTCTTCTACCAAAGTTTCTTTTAATAAATGCTCCCAACTATATCTTCAGAGAAAACTATACCCGATTGATGGGATTACCTTGGTTACAGAAATATTATATATGGATCTTAAGTTTAGTGGTAAACCAAAAGTCTGTAAGGTAAAGATCAACTAAAGTGAGAGCCGTGCATCTATCAGTTGTAATAGCAGGAGGATGCAGAAGCTGTGGTTTAACAGCGTACTCTGTAGTCAACCATTTCATAATCTTTATTTAATTCTTTTTGTGTGTGTGTGTAGCTTAATTGCAACTATGGATGGATGGATTTTAATTTATTTGGTATAATGATGAGTGTAAAGTAATTCTACTCATTAGTTTGTCAGTTTTAAAACAACAGTCGTTATCTTTTATACCATTATTATTTATTACCTAATGAATTGTTGGGCTATTGGTAAGCATTTTGAGAAATGGAAAACTGTGTTAACTCTCTCACTATGGGTCTTCCTATGGTCAGGGATCAAAAGGCATGTCATCACATTTGTAGACTTCCATTCAAAATGTTATTGATCTACTATTTTAAGAATGTATGTTAATAAGTTTGGTATCAAACTGTAGATTATTATTGAAATTTTAGTATTATACATTATTTAATTTCATAATTTAAAAGTAAATATTAAAACAAAATTCCTAAATATCAATTTTTGTGTGGCACTGGTATGTTGAATGCGCTTTGGTTCAAATAAGGTGTTTGTGATGTACAAATACAAAGTCTGTAATTTCTTACAAATTAGAAACTCAAGTTACCGATATTGACAAGCTAGAATATAAAATAAGAACCTCCTATCTTTTCTATTTGCTAAGATCGAACAAAGTGGGCCCTGCCCACCTCTTTCATTTTTGGAAATACTTGTTTACATATGCCTACTTCTGTCTATACATGTAAATATCTAATCAGAAGCTCAGATTGTCCACCACATGGTTTTCTCAGCCTCTAGGAGGTGGAAAGTTCCCAAGATTATTTCTGTGTCTCAAATCTCAGAAGGATGGGGTAAGTTAAAATGTTGTCCAAAAAAGTTTTTTTTTTACCCAAATACAGTTTAGTTAATAAGCCTGATAAATTACAGTGTAAATAGTGGGATATTGATAGAGTAATTTATAATATTTGGTTATTTCAAAATGCATGAATAAAACCTAAAAAAAGTATTTTGTTTTACATTTTATGTGCAAAAGTTGACAAGGCAAATTACAGCAAGCAGGTAAACGAGTACAAAGTTTGTAAGTAGAAAAAAATCATTGTTTTCTATTTTTCTTTATTTACTGTTCTATATTTTAAAAAAACAACTGAAATTTAAGAAATTATTTGTAAATAGTAATAACATTATACATATGTAATGTATTATAACCCGAAATGTTACTGTATTTTACAAAATACTGGTTCACTAGAACAAACAGAAGATGATTCACTTTGTAAAGGCCAGTTTTATACTGTTGAATATGGTAATGTGAGTGCACGTGTGCTGTGTCATTGCAACTTCTGTAATGTTAGTTAGACATGTAATTTATATCTATTTCCTAATTTTTTATGTGGATTACGAGGTTGGTCGAATCGACCAATCTCACATAGAGATACGATGGTGAATATAACAGATAAAATATAAAGTTTTTCTGAAAAAAATTTGCTAATTATCTGGAGGTTATAAAGATTTTTTATGTGAAATTTGACAATTTTTGATGCATAAAAGTATTTTTAATCTTAAAATCAAAATTACTTTGCATATTTGATAGTCAACAATTGAAAAGAAAAAAATGCACGAGCAAATCATTACATAAAAAATCTTAAATTGTACCAACAATAAATTTGCATATAAGCCCAGTCATACGTGTTATATAATGCATGTTTGTTGATCATTACATAAAAAATCTTAAAAACTTAATAAAAGAATCTTATATTTTGTGTGCTAAAGCCTTGTAATGTTTACTGATAATCTGCAAAATTTTGTGAAGATACGCATACTGTATTAAAAACTATAGCAAGCACAAAATGGTTATGAGGTCGGTACTTGGGACAGAGCCTGTAGTTAAATTGTACCAGCAATAAAACTATATTAAAAACTATAGCAAGCACAAAATGGTTAAGAGGTCGGTCCTTGGGACAGAGTCCGTAGTTAAATTGTACCAGCAATGAAGCTTGCATATAAGCCCAGTCATAAGTGTTATGTAAATGCATGTTTGTTGATTGTACTTATGGAATTAATATAAACCTATATATTCTTTTACACCAACCATAACTATTTAAATCCAGTTGATAAACTATTTTGATATTCTGGTAAGGTACAGTGTAGTCATGACTTACAGGAATGAAAGTTTTATCCAGTGCCATGTACATATTAATTTTTGTGACAATGATGTAAAGTTAACAGTTTCACCTAACACATGAAGGTGCCTTGCCATTATCATAATGTTTACTATAAATGTAACACAGACAAAAAAATGTTTTTTCT